GTTTTCATTTCTGTTAATAGTTGTTTTATATAACTGGGTGCTCTGGAGTTTGGTGCATATATATTTAAGATAGTTATCTCTTCCTCTTTTAGTTTTCCCCTTACGAGTATGTAGTGACCTTCTTTGTCCTTTATGGTCATTGTTGGTTTAAAGTTCATGTGTCTGCAAACAGAATGGCTACTCCTGCTTGTTTTTGGATTCCTGTTGCGTGAAGTATTGTTTTCCATCCTTTGACTTTCAATCTGTGAGTATCTTTCTGGGTTAGATGGGTTTCCTGTAAACAGCATATGGTTGGATTTTGTTTCTTGATCCATTCTGCTAGTCTGTTTCTTTTGATTGGTGCATTGAGACCATTTACATTAATGGTTATAATTGTTATATGCTGGTTTATTTTTGACATGTTATCTCTCTGCTGTTGCATCTTTATCTTTCTGTTCTGTTGAATTATCTGCTTTACTTAGTGGTTTTTTCCTTTGTGTATCTGAACTGTCTCTCAATATTTTCTGCAGGGATGGCTTGGTGTTCATGAAGTTCTTCAGCTGTTCTTTGTCATGGAAGTATCATATTTCACCATCAATTTTGAATGATAGTTTTTCAGGGTGCATCAGTCTAGGTTGGAAATCATTTTGCTTTAGGATCTGGAATACTTCACTCCATGCTCTTCTTGACTTTATTGTTTGTGCTGAGAAGTCTGCTGTGATTCTGATAGGTTTTCCTTTATAAGTGATCTGTCATTTCTCTCTGACAGCTTTTAATAATCTATTCTTGTTGGATTTCTGGGATAGTGATTATTATATGTCTGGATGTAGTTTTATTTTGGTTATGACTATTTGGAGTTCTATAGGCTTCACTGAACCTGATGTCGGTTTCTGATCTCATGCTTGGGAAATTTTCAGGTATTCTCTAAATATCCTCTTGACGTCCTTTATGTTGTCCCCTTCTTTTTCATTAATCCCTATCAATCTTATGTTGTTTTTCTTTGCATCATCTTGCTGAATTGTTGTTTCCTGATTCCTTGTTATTTTTAAAAGATCTTTCCTTTCCTGTTCACTAGCTGCAATCCTGTCTTCAAGGTCTGAAATTCTATCTTCACTTTCATTGAGGTGGTTTTTACAACTTTCAGTGGAGTTTTTTATTTCCTTTATATCTCTGTGCATCTGCTTTATGTATCCTGTTTGTTTCTTATATTGCTCATTTAGGGATTCTTTTTGTTTAGTTCCTCTAATTTTTTAACTGTGTTTTCTTTAGATATATTCAGAATGTCTTTCATTTCTTTTCTCATTTCTTCTTTTACCTGGGAGATTATTTCAAGTTTGAATTCCTTTAAAGCTTCCTGGAGTTGCTTGTTTATTTCAGTAGCTATTATGTCTGATATTTGAGGTATATGGCATATATTTTCTTCTATATACATCGCTCCTAGGGTTTCTTGCGATGGGCTGGAGGTTTGAGGTTGTAATTTGGTCTTTCGTTTTGTCATTTTCCTATATTTCTGTGTTTCAAGTGTTACTTGAAAGCTTCCTCAGGATCTGTTGGAAATCCCCTTCTATGTTCGCAGCTCCTGGGACTCTGGCACCCAGTTCCCCCAGGCCGCTGGGCCTCTAGAACCAGTGGCCCTCTTCTGCCTGTTTAGAACTCTATAGTTCCACATAAGCTGGGCTCCAGGAACACTGTGTGCCTGCCTGCTTGCTGGAAACTCCACAGTTCTCGGAGCACAGCCAGAATGGGGAGGCGGATATAGGCACCTGGGCCCACTTAGGCACTTCACTGCACCCGGAAGGCTCAAGGGTCCTGAAGAGTCTGGGCTTCAGGCAGAGTGCACTGGGCACTTACTGCCACCATGGGGCCTCTGGAACTGGTGATGCTCACCTGCTTACTGAGAAATCCACAGTCCTCCAGACACCCGGGTAGGCGGATGCTGGCGCCCCAGATCCGCCCAGCCCTTACTCTGCACCCAGATGGTGCAAGAGTCCCAAATAGGCTGGGCTCCAGGGATAGTGTACACCCACCTGCTTGCTGGAAACTCCACAGTTCTCCGAGAGCAGCCGGAATCTCACTCAGCATTTCTGTGTGTAGCCTCAGAACAGTAAAATACATAGCATTTATTATTGACTAACTAATGTTCCTGAGTAAATAATAAATAAGTGAACAATGGGATCTTTTCAAATATAAAAATGCCAAATGGATTTGCATTATACAGATGTTGCTAAATGGAGGGACTCACATACATATAATTATGTATTAACTCATCATTTTGTTTGTTCTTTTATTCAACAAGTATAGGAATAGAAAGGTAAGAAAGAAATATCAACATTTATAGAAAAATACTTGTTAGATGTAGAACATGTTATATTTGTGCTATTTCAATATGGAAAAACTGTGATTTTTGAAGTTATGAGTCAAAATTCATATTATAATTCTACCATAGAAAGTTATTTGACAAATTATTTATTGTTGTGCTTCAGTATTAAAGAAAAGGTTAAACTTGTTATTCTGATTTGACAGGGGTGAAGTTAATAAAAATAATAAAAGAAAATAGCTTATTCATGTAATGTTAGAACAATAATTTCAGTTTTCAGGGTTACAATGCCTAATTTGAACAAAAGCAACCACAAAAAGATTTTGCTATATTTTTGTCAGATTTTCCTTTTGAGTTAAAATTTGTTTTTGCTTTGTTTTGATTTTTGTTTTGTGTCTCAGTATTAATTTAACATAAAAGTACAAATGTGAAAGAGATTTGAAAATATGAGTATTTATTCACTATGTAAAGATTAACAATGCTCCTTAGTTCAGCAAGGAAAAATCGTAATTCTTCAGTAAAACATGGATTTAGAGCTCCATATAGTTTCAGATTTGGGAAATCATAAGTATGTAATTTTTTCTGTGTACTGAATGGTAACTCTCAAAGTGTCTAGCATCTGATTTTATGCAGATAAATTTCAACCTAAAAACTAAAAACCTAAAATCTGTAGTCTGACAGTGATGGGTTTTGGGATACAAGTTAAACCATTATGTTTGTGTTAAATGTATTCATGACTGTTGGGGGAATATTGAGAAATAAGTGTTTGTGATCTAGCAAACTAATCAGGATACAAATAAAAGTTCTGGGGAAGTATAGCAGAAGGTTCTACTGTTCACTGGGGCAGTAGAGCAGCTTGATAGGCAGGAGTAAATTCACCAAATGAGTAGAAATGGGCAAGAGGAGAAGGGGATAGTAAGAAAAAGTTAAAACTTGTGTGAAGGCACAGAGCAATACAAAAAAATCTTGATGTATTTGAGTAATTGAGAGAAATTTTATTATGGAGCTTATAGAGAATGGGGTTTAAGGAAAGAGGAGAGGGGACACGAGGTGACAGATCAAGGCATATATATATATATATATATATATATAATCTCCAGTTAGGGCAAACTGAAATGCTTTATCATTCATATGTCACATTTATTAAGCATATACTGTATTATTATAATTAGAATTTTCCTTAGGTTTCAGCAGTAGGAATATAAAGCAAGAAAGAAAAATAAAGAATGCATGAATGAATTTAAAAAGATGACATGCCCTGGAAAGTGTTTTGCAGAGCAGGATATATGATAAGTATGTTAGGAAAGCAGTCTTCTTTTGCAGTATACGTGTGATGGAAGCATACCCAAACCCCAAATAGTTCATTTCAATGCCAAGGAAATTATGGTACTGAATACTGACAGTGATACATGAAGAATACAAATGACTAGACTACTTTTGCATAAGTTCTATATGTGGAGGACCACCTGGATGACTCTCCTTGAATAAAGAGCAATTTCCTTCACTTTAGATAACCCAGCCCTATCTCTATGTACTGATCCGTACAGAGCTGGCTAAGCTATGCCCTTTTCCCTTCAATTGGCTCTAAGCAACTTAAATAGGACTCGCTGAAGTACTGATGCTTAATCTTTGAAGCTAGGCAACAATCCCCATTTCCCTGCCCCAGTGGCTCCCTGAACACAGTTGAACCTGGCTTTGGAATGCAGAGCCACTGCTCCAGGGATGTTGACTTGGTTTGAGCCTCAAAATAAGAGGCTGAGACTACCCAGGGTGGAAAGGTTTGCACAGCAGAAGCTGAAGCATGAGTTCCAAAACATTATATTGTGTTATACAGATCAATTGTGTTATACAGATCGGCCTTTCTGCATATCCTTCTCTCCGAATATTGCAGAGGTGCCTTCTGGCCTCCTAGCTAGCCTAGGTCACAGTACTCAGGTAATCCCCGCCATTCTCATAGTCACTTGTCCTCTGGCTACTCCTTTCTTCACAAATTGATAAAATACAGATTAGGCCCTGGGTTGAGGCCTTGGTTCTATGAACCTTCATCTAGGCCAGACTCAGGAACCCTTGGCTGCCCATAATTATAAATATGTGTTAGTGTCTTTATTTTCACCATGGGCTGTATTGGAAGTAGGAGCCTGGGATTAACTTGCTAGGATTCGATTACATTTCCGTGGGATTACAAATCTAAACTTCCCAGACTACAATGAGAAGGAGAAAGGAATCTTTATACTATAGATGTGTGAAGTAGGTTAGAGTCTCACAAAAGGTACAGTGACAGTGTACCAATAGGGGAGTTTGAGAATGGAATTTTTACCGAATATGATCTTATGACTGTTTGTGTTGTGGCCAGGGAAGATGACATTAGTCTTTCAAGTAGTTGGAATGTTCATTTGTTACTATTCTAGGAATAGAAGTCTAATTTAATAAATGAGCAACAATAATTTTATGACCAAGGGCAATTCATTTTACTCCCTGACCTTAGTTTCTTTTTTCCTGTAAGCAAAGAAGTTAGATTTGATCATCTTGGAAATCTCTTACATCTGTGCCCTCAACACTTAAAATAATTTTCTCCTTTAAAATACTGGGTAAATTTGATAGTGTATTGTTGGCGAATATATATAGATTGTGCCAAATATGAATACAGCTTGTTATATGCTATTTTAAAATGTACTGATAGAGCTTTTTTCCCTCTGACTTTCAGATGGCTGAATACTTTAGGAATGCTGGCCAATCAGGGCATTGATGTTGTGATACGGCACTCATTTTTTGACCATGGATACAATCATCTGGTGGATCAGAATTTTAACCCATTACCAGTAAGTGTGGGATAAAGATTCCTAAGTCATTTTCCCTATCATTCAGTCCTTTTGATCGTGCCTTTTTCCACACTAGGAAAACAGTTCTTTTGCCATTGCCAATTAATTTAAGAAATCTAACAGATGCATTCTTGTCTTTATTTCCTTGACCCATTTTATAGAATTTTGCCTTCAAAACACACACTCATACTCACACACCCTATATATAAACACACATACATATAAATGTATTGATATACATTCATATCTATATTGCTATTATTTTAATAAACTTCGTGCAATTGAGGTTCCAGATCTACTTGTGGCCTGTTTGAACTCTGCTTGAGAGTGAATTTTTCCAGATTGTTTTCTTTTAACGCTAATAGGAGACATTAGTTAATGTCAAATGCAACATGTTGAAAGCAGATGGGGAACATTAACCAAGATCATACATAGTAAGAGTCCATCTCTTAGAGAGTGGCTGAAGTGCCCTTACAGTTAGATGTTGATCCCTATGTGACAAGAGTAAAATTTATCCATCACATCAATTTCTCTAGGAAAGTAAAGGAAACAGAAAAAGAAAAAGAAAATGGCAAAAGCAGAATTCTGGATAGCATAGTGACCTTATTGGCCAATCAGAGAAACCCCACAGAGTTCAGGGAAGCTATGCTTTTTAGAAATATTATATGGCTTATTCTTTTACACAGACATCGTTTGTCATGACATAAGATCAGACTCCTCTAACTAACTCACAGAATTTCAAATTTGGGGTTCCTCTTTAAGATGATCTAGTCCTGCCCCACGAATGAGGAAATGCACCTAGGCTATGGCAGGAAAGAAGTAATGTGGCACTAGCTCTCAACACTGTTCCTGTGCCTTGGTCTAGGCTCATAGAAAAAATCCAAACCACATCAGTAAATGTTTCTGCACTTGCTTCTTTTTGCCTTTTTCTAGCCACTCTGTCCACCTTCGATCCTAAGCCAGCAGGCCTTAGAGCTCAGAGCAAGAAACACCTTGGTTCCAAACAACCTGTTTGTTTCTGTGTCTCAAAATAACCTCTGTAGGTTACAGTATGTGGTGATTGTACCATCAGGTATACATGACTCAAGACTCTAGTTAAATCACAAATATTAAAACTAACTGGCACAGTTATTTCATTTATAGAATAAAATACCTCTCCCAAAGTATATGTATGGGGGTGGGATGGGAAGGGTGGCATAGAAGTTTTCATTTTAGAATTACAGCATTTTGTTTTCTTTTGTCTTACCTCATATATTTGTGGAAAAAATAATTAGAAAAGTATCTGTGAAATGTAATTATTAAACAACTAATAAGGTTGCATGTTCTATTTGAAATAAATATAGGTTACTGAACATCGAGCCCTGAGGAGGACCTGATAATGAATACATAAATAGTAGAGAACTATTAAGGGCTTCTTTAGAGTGGCTGTAGAGGAAGGGATTCTCTGAGAAGGTGACAGGAGGCCAAAGGCAGCAAAAAACCAGCTGTGCAGATTTCACAGAACAAGAGGCTCACATGAAGGCTCCAGGGCAGGAGCAAACCGAGCGTGTTAGTGGAAACAGGAGCACCAGAATGACGAGGGCATGGTGAGGAAGGGAAGACCGGCCGGAAAGAAGGTAGGCAGAGGTCAGACCATGCCAGGCCGTTTTGCTTTTGTACTTAGTATGAAAATCCATGGAATGGCTTTAATCAGGGAAACAACATGATCTAACTTACATTTTGAACAGATCGTATTAGCATAATTAATGCATCAAATGCTAGTTTTCACTTTTTAATAATAATGAAGATAATTTAGAAGTCATAAATGGTATATCAACAAAGCTCCAAAAACTGTTTCCCCTGCCTTGTGCCCTTTTTCTTTCTTTTCTTCTTTTCTTCATTGAAATTTTATTCACTCTTCTTGATCACATCCTATGGAAGTGGGCCACTGTGATAAACCGAATAACAGGTTGCCTGAATGCTTGCAGTTTATACTGTAGCTTGCAGTTTATACTTAATGCTTGCAGTGTATACTGTGGTGGTGAACATGACATGTGTGCCACAGAGTACTGCCTGTATCATTGAAAGCTCTAAAAGGCTTCTCCATCACTGATGTCAAGTGTTGTTCTGAGAAATGAAAAATAAGTAAACATATGGACAAGATAGTTGTCATTTGTCAAAATTGCTCCAAAGAAAGCCTAGTGAAATAAATAGGACTTTTTAAAATTTATTTTGATTAAAAGAAACTAAACTCTAGAAGATTATTTAGTGAACATCCAAGGCCAGACAAGTAGTAAGAGCCGGAACTGCCTGGGGTTTCCCGCTCCAAATCCTATTTTATTTTCATTGTACCACACTGTTTCTTTCAGTATCCTCTTAGGTCTTTGTTGTGGCTTGAGACAAATTTTGCCTGGAGACAAAAATGAGCCTTTAGGGGAAATTGAGAGAAGAACACAGACTAGAAAAAAATGATCTGGATGACTAGGCAGGCGCACAACTGGACAAACATACTTCCTTATCTCACCGCTACATACTTTTTCTCGGCCACATATAAATTAAAGACCAAAGTTTCAGGGGCTGGGGATTTAGCTCAGCGGCATAAGTGCCTGCCTTGCAAGCAGCGGGTTGTGAGTTCGATCCCCAGTACCGATAAAAAAGAAAAAGACAAAAAAAAAAAAAAAATAAAGACCAAAGTTTTTATGGCTTGGTTCTCCCAAAATGAGAATTACTGCCAGTAACTTCCTTTAAAATTATGACAGTTGATAACTGTGGCAGTGAGGCTCAAAGAAATCCATAGGAAGCTAAAACAAGGTCTATCGATTTAACACAAACATTCAACTGACTGTACTTCTAGAAACACCAAGTTAAAAAAAAAAACGGTATGTAAAAGCACTTAAAAATGTATCTTTCGTTGCCTGGTAATAAATCTGTACCTTATAACTAGAGAATCTGCAGCTGGAGTTGTCCTAAGTCTTCCCTGGAAAGAATTTACAAGGCTGGACAGGGCACGAATCTAATAGACTTTGCCAGCAAGCTCCTGGAACTTCAGATGGAGTCAGACCTGGGGATTATATTGGTTGCCACCATAAAGAATTATGCGCTTGATAATCAAACACTGCCAATAAAAATTTATGAAATTCACATTGAGGTTAAACCTTCACCAGAGTTTTTAGAATTTAGGGGATTAATGATTTGGTTGTCTCAGAGAAAACAAGTCAGTATTATCTATTTCAGTTTCTTCAAGCTTAGTGTATTTCAGGGAAGTATGTTATTAGCAAACTCTTGTTTGTATTTTGTTAGTGCTCATGGGCATAGTTAGGAAAAGTGAGCAATCTGACCTAATCAAGCTTCATATCTTACATAACCCCTCTCTTGTCTACTGAATTTTGATCTCTGTTTGTGACATCCCAGAGCAGCTATGGCAGGGCCATTCCAGTAGCACAGACTCCTTACATTGGGTTTGTATTATCATTACACATTTTTATTATTATTATACATTTGCCCAGCCCAGGGGAATGGATGCCACCATTAGTGAACTCTCCTACAGAACTAACAAACTGTGGACTTCTGATGTTAATGTGTCCATTCAAGTTCATCATGTGGAGCACTCTAATGGGAGACATTAATAATGGACGAGACTCCATACATAAAAGTATGGAATATATATGGCTTCTCTGTACCATCTCAATTTTGCTGAGGACCTAAAACTTCTTTAAGGAAAAAAAGTCTTTAAAGGAAAAAGGAGAAAAAAGAGAAACTTCTGCTCAGAAAGTATTATTTTCAAATGGACCCCCCCCCTTCTTTATGATTATTCCTCCAGAAAAGTGCCAGCCCTCTTCCTGTTGTGAGACTTTTCTGCTCCTGGGAAGAAGAGAACATTTAGTTCAACTGTGCTTCATCACTCAACTTTCACTTCTTTCCCTTGAGCCCACACTGTGGTCATTGGGAAACAGGGGACATGTGAGTCTCCACAGCCAGTTAGTCATGCACTCTCTTGGGAGCAGATGATGTTTGTGCAGAAGAGATCTGCACATATGGTGGACATAATCCAGACCCCACCAGTCATGGGCATTGCTCCTCATAGAAGGTTTTGGAATTTAACTAGCTGCTTTTTTAAGAGCTTGATTTATAGAGCTTTCAGGAAAAGGAATGGAGAATTTCTAATCAAAATTTTAACTCCTATTCCACTCTAGCAAAAGGAATCTTCACATGAATATAATTCAGTTCAAAAAACATCCAAGCTCAAATATATCTGGGTTTGCCGTAGACATTATATGGATATGCATATAACTAAGATATAATCCCTTCAATTTGCAAAGCTAATAGTCTGGTATATAAGTTTGTAGGATCACAATTTAGCCCTCTATAGTAAGATTTTAAAAATCTATATCACACTGTATTACCTTTTCTACATTTTTTTGCCTATTATCCCTGATGAATAATAAAAAATATTCTATTCAGCCCAGTGCATATTTATTGAGCACCTTCTGTATATACTTTTCTGGAATATAGTCATTGGTTATGTGCTGGAACACAATTCACTAATCTGTAGTAAGACTGAATTTATGGTTGCAGTTCCGATAGCATCATGTTCCAAGTCAGGTATCACTGGTGAGATGTCGTCTGGTCTTTGGAAAGAAAATGATTGCTACTGTTGCCTGTCTGGACCACAATTATAGGTTAGACTATCACAAGATCCTTGGACAAAATTCTAAATGCTCCATCCTTGTGTCTCTTTAAAGTGTTAGAGACAATATTCCTTGTGCCCTGAATAATCGTGATGTGTACACAGAATAAGCATGAAACTGTCCCTTTCCTTACTAAGAATACTGATGTTAGGTTGATGTGAGAAAGATACCACCAAGTTAGGAAGTATCATAGCAAACAAGAAGACTTTAGGACTATAATAAGGCAGGTGGGTTCTATTCCTAGCTCTGCTACAGTTAAATGTGTATTTGGGGGTTCCAGTTTAACATGGCTTACATAAGAATAAAAATCCTCTTCTATCTACCTCCAAAAAT